GACTCTTTTATGGAGCTGGGTGGTTGATGAACACCAAAGGGCGTGGATAAATGTATTGTCCCCAGCCCATGGAAAGGGAAAAATGATTAGAGTTATTGGAGTGTGGAGTGATTTGCCTGAGGGCATTTAAAGGGCAATTAGGATAGGCAGTGCGGAGGAAGGGCAAGGGGAGGAGCAAAGACCCAACACTGATACAATGGGTCAAATAGCCTGGATCTGAGTCGGTCAACCTAGAAGTTGGGAGATTTCTGCCAGAGCTGGCTTATTCGGCAGCCTGGAAATGGGAGTAACAATCTTATACAAGATATTATTACAGCATTTTACACTTGTATAGTGCCTTTCACATCGTCAGGACATCCCAAGGCGTTGGCCAGTCGAGAGTTTGGGCCCAGGTTAGGGGTGGGAACCGAGTAGGGTGAGGCTGAGGGGGTGGAAGGCGAGTGGGGTGGGGCTGAGGGGGTGGGAGGATGACTGAAGGCAAAATCAAAGAGGAAGAGTTTGCACCCGAGCTGGAGTCAAGAGAGGTGGAGGGCAAGGAAGGTCGAGGTGGGAAGATTTCAAAGGCACAGTCAAAGAGAAAGATCTTGAGACGAGCCTTGAAGGAGGCGAGGGAGGTTGTGGGTTCAAACTCAATGTCAGGATTTGGAACTCATGTAGTCTCTGCTTTCACTCCAGTGCAATGCTGGGTGAGCGATGTATTGTCGGAGGTGCCGTCCTTCAGATGAGACATTAAACCGAGGTCCCGTCTGTACCTGTTCAGGTGTACATTAAAGAACCAATAGCACTATTCAAAAATAAAAGGGAATTTCTCTTTCCCGGTGTCCTGGCCAACAATCCTCCACATAAAATTGGTCACTCCCTCCATGGCCGTTTGTGGGACATTGCTATGTTCAAACTGGCTGTCGCATTTTCCCCACAAAATACACAACTACTACACTTTACAGTACAGCCTGTAAAGCGTTTTGAGGCATCTCAATGTATTCCCATGAATGATAATATTTATGAGAATAATATTCTCATACATATTATTATTATTCATGAGTTATTTGCCTCATGCGAACCTGTATGTGTGCGTGCAGTCTGCAGTGTGTGCACAGTCTGAATGATCTCAGCCTGTAGCAACAGCTGTTAAGCAGAAAGAGCCAAGCCCAACACTTAGCAAACATAGCCCCAGCGTGACTCAGTAACAGGACACAGGATCACAGGCGAACATCCACACGGCAGCTCAGAGCCTAGCAAACAGGAAATGGAACAACTTGACCAAAAAAATCCTCATTTTACGTTATACCTAAAGCGTCAAAATATTTCACAAAGTTTCAGTTATTCTGCAAAGTGCAGTGACTGTATTGTGTGGGCAAACACAACCGTTAATTTACACATAGCAATGTCCAACAAACAGCCACGAAGCGAATGACGAATTTTATCACGGGGATTGTCAGCCAGGACACCAGGAGAGAGAAACTCCATTCTTTTTTCCCCCAACAATATATTTAACGTCCATCTGAACAGACACAGATGTGAGCTCTGTTTAATGTCTCATACAAAAGACGGTGCCTCCGGCAATGCTCGCTCGCTCCTTCTCCCCCTTCCACCCAAACTTTGCCAGAATGAGCATTACTTTTTTTGAAAACATCTTACAACAAATCCATTTTGCAAACGTGTCATTTTTCACACACTGCATGTACCCCTGCTGCATTGCTGGGGTGCCATCCTTCAGATGAGATATTAAACTGAATCTGTTGAGGTAGACATTAAAGATCCCACCGTATCATTGGAAAATAGTAGGGAGTTTCTCTCTCCTGGTATGCTGGCTGTAAATCCTTCAGGTAAAATTGGTCACTCACTTCACAGACGTTGACATGCGCAAATTAGTTGCAACATTCATAGTCAGCAATCAGCAACAAATCACTGCAAAGCGATCCGAGATATTCCGCCAGTTATAGGTAAATATGAGGATGAACACACCGGAAGTAAGCATGATGTCTCCCTCCAGGGAGGGAGTGCGCTTTCTATTCCAATACAGAGGAATTTCCACATTTAGGTGGCATACGTGGAACACTAGGTCTGGTTTGGATACTCTTAAGTACAGTGATGGGTTGCCGCATGTGTCAAATACCCAGCTGATTACAGTGATGGCTTCCTGCGTATCTCAGACACCCAGCTGATCAAAGTGATGGGTTTCCACATGTGACAGACACCCAGCTGATTACAGTGATGATTTCCCTGAGTGTCAAGACGGCTGATAACGGTGATGGGTTTCCATGTGTGTCAGACACCCGGCTGATTACAGTGATGGCTGTCCATGTGTGTCAGACACCAGGCTGATCATAAAATAAACTGAGGATTATTATTAGTCTTTTCTAAAAAAAAGTAGAATTCTTACTCACACAACTTTGTTTATGTAAAAGATTTAGTTACTAAATTCTGTGCTCGCTTCCATGTTTGCTTTCATCACTTCTGTTTTTCAACCAAGTTTAACCACAGGATAACATCTCTAGGCTGAGCGCTGGGTATAGAGTGTTCAATCGGGGAGCAATCGCCTCTCATTCCCAGAGAAGAAACACTTTCATTCGATTCATGTGTCAGAATGCAATTTGCACCTGAACAAAATCAAACGCGTGATAATTCGGGGATGAAATCAGCGCCAAAACACGCAGTGAATGGCGAGAGAGCTAAGTCGCATCGAGCAGGCTCACGTGCTGAAATTAATCCTCTTTGGATCCCACCCTCTCTCCGGCATGGATATCCAGCCTCCAGTGTCAAGTGATTTGAGACAACTGCCTGACATCAAAGCCGATCTAATTGGTGTGTATTATACTCGCACTTCACACAATGCCTTCTGTGTCCTAAACGCTTCAGACAATTTCTGACAAGTGTAGTGACTGTGTGATTTGTACGTGAACAAGCAGCCAATTTGCACACAGTAACGTCCCACAAGCAGCCACAAAGCAAGTGATCAATTTTATGTGAGGGATTGTCAGACAGGACCAGGAGACAGAAACTCCCCTCTCTTTTTCAACAGCGCCACAGGATTTTATTGTCCACCTGAACACACAGGCGGGACATCAGTTTAACATCTTATGCAATTTCCAGTGCCCCCTCCTCCCACATACACATACGCCCAGTACACATACAAGAGAGTGTTAGCCTGGCCTTTCACTTATGGGGGTTGGGGGAGGGTTGAACCCACAAACTTCTGATCAGGAGACGAGTGCTACCGAAAAAGTGGGACTGCCGAAGTAGTCCATTTAAAGTGTGTGACAGCGGCATCCAAATACACCGTAATTTAATCAATAACTAATTCATTTTGTCATCACAAAACCTGTCAAGTTCAAAACAGTAAATAAACAGCAGCCAGTGTGTTTAGACAGCATGGGAGAAAGAAGAACGCGGCAGCCAATTTGTGCACAGCCATGTCCCACAAACAACCACAAAGTGAATGAATAATTTATCTGAGAGATTGTCGGCCACAGCACTGGGAGAAAAGCTCGCCAGCTAGTAGATCTGGTCTGAAACCAATCCTATTGGGATGCTGAAAAGGGCAAACAATAATAACTTTAACAGCAGCAATAATAATAACAATAATATTAATAATATTATTTATCAATAATAATAACAATAATCCTGGCATTTGGATAATAATAATAATTCTGGCATTTGGATAATAATAATTCTGGCATTTGGATAATAATCCTGGCTATTGTCCACCTGAATGGCAGAGGGGACTTCGGTTTAACATCTCATCCGAAGGAAGACACATCCGACAATGCAACACACCCCCAGGACTGCGTAGGAATGTCTTCTTAGACTATGTGATTTCAAATCCTGATGTGGGGCTTGAATCCAACAACAACAACAACTCGCACTTATATGGCGCCCTCCACACAGGGTAGCATCTCAGAGCGCTTAATAGCAGTGGAGCCTGACTTCGACTGGGGGGGGGGGGGGCAGGTGGCTGTAAGCGCAGTCGAACAGGAAAGTTTTCAGGCAGGACTTGAAAGAGGGGAGAGAGGAGGCACGGTGGAGGGATTGGGGGAGAGTGCTCCAGAGTTTCGGGGCGAAATGTTTGGACTCAGAGTGCTACCACTACGCCAGGCTGACAAACTTGACAGACTCCCTCACGCACCTCTCTTACTCAGTTATTTTCTCACTCTCTCACTGAGTGCCCAGTGACTGGCTCACTCTCTCACTCAGTGATGTACTCACTCACTTCTTCATTCAGTAACTGACTCCTCTCCCCCCAATTCGCTTAGTGACTGACTCACTCTCTCCTCACTTGCGCTCTCACGCTCACAGCGAGTCTCTCGCTCACTCACTCTCAGTGTCACTCACTCTCAGTGACATTCTCACTACCACGAGTCTCTCACTCACTCACTCGCTCACTCACTCACTCATAGTGAGTCTCTCGCTCACACACAGCGAGTCTCTCGCTCACTCACAGCGAGTCTCTCGCTCACTCACAGCGAGTCTCTCGCTCACTCACAGTGAGTCTCTCGCTCACTCTCTCACTCTCACAGTGAGTCTCTCACTCTCACAGTGAGTCTCTCACTCTCACATGAGTTTCTCACTCTCACAGTGAGTTTCTCACTCTCACAGTGAGTCTCTCACTCTCACAGTGAGTCTCTCACTCTCACAGTGAGTCACTCACTCTCACAGTGAGTCACTCACTCTCACAGTGAGTCACTCACTCACTCACTCACTCACTCACTCACAGTGAGTCTCTCATTCACTCTCACAGTGAGTCTCTCACTCACTCTCACAGTGAGTCTCTCACTCACTCTCACAGTGAGTCTCTCACTCACTCTCACAGTGAGTCTCTCACTCACTCTCACAGTGAGTCTCTCACTCACTCTCACAGTGAGTCTCTCACTCACTCTCACAATGAGTCTCTCACTCACTCTCACACATCGAGTCTCTCCCTCACTCTCTCACTCACACAGTGAGTCTCTCACTCACTCTCTCACTCTCACAGTGAGTCTCTTACTCTCACAGAGGCTCACCTTGTGCTGGCGCCGGGCCATGTCGGTGGGCTGCTTGGCGGTGAAGGGGTGGGCAATGCACCTGAGGAGGAAGACATAGAGCTGCAGCGGGCGGCGCCGGTTCTCCTCCCGTTGCCGCTGCCGTTCCTGGCGGTCCGTGTCGTTGCTCGGGGCCGGGCTGGGGCAGGGGCAGGGGCTGGGGGGGCTGGCTGTGGGACTCGGGCCGGGAGGAGCCAGCACCTCAGCCCTCACCCCTTCCAGCACCTCGTCCGGCTCCTCTTCACTGGAGGATGGGTCTAGCATCGCGACTGCCTGGCGCACAGAGACACCGACTCAAAGACTGAGAGAGAAACTCTCACACACACAGACTCACACTCACAGACTGGGAGACAGACACAGAGACTGAGAGCGAGACTCACACACACACAGACTCACACTCACAGACTGGGAGACACACAGAGACTGAGAGCGAGACTCTCACACACACAGGCTCACACTCACAGACTGGGAGACAGACACAGAGACTGAGAGCGAGACTCACACACACACAGACTCACACTCACAGACTGGGAGACAGACACAGAGACTGAGAGCGAGACTCACACACACAGGCTCACACTCACAGACTGGGAGACAGACACAGAGACTGAGAGAGACTCTCACACACACAGACTCACACTCACAGACTGGGAGACAGACACAGAGACTGAGAGAGACTCTCACACACACAGACTCACACTCACAGACTGGGAGACAGACACAGAGACTGAGAGCGAGACTCACACACACAGACTCACACTCACAGACTGGGAGACAGACACAGAGACTGAGAGCGAGACTCACACACACAGACTCACACTCACAGACTGGGAGACAGACACAGAGACTGAGAGTAGACTCTCACACACAGAGACTCACGCTCACAGACTGGGAGACAGACACAGAGACTGAGAGTAGACTCTCACACACAGAGACTCAGACTCACAGACTGGGAGACAGAGACTGAGAGAGATTCACACACACAGACTCACACTCAGACTGGGAGTCACAGAGACTGAGAGAGACTCTCACACACACACAGACTCACACTCAGACTGGGAGTCACAGAGACTGAGAGAGACTCTCACACACACACAGAGACTCACACTCAGACTGGGAGTCACAGAGACTGAGAGAGACTCTCTCACATACACAGACTCACACTTAAACTGGGAGTCACAGAGACTGAGAGAGACTCACACACACAGACTCACACTCAGACTGGGAGTCACAGAGACTGAGAGAGACTCTCTCACACACACAGACTCACACTTAAACTGGGAGTCACAGAGACTGAGAGAGACTCACACACACAGACTCACACTCAGACTGGGAGTCACAGAGACTGAGAGAGACTGACACACACAGACTCACACTCAGACTGGGAGTCACAGAGACTGAGAGAGACTCTTTCACACACACAGACTCACACTTAAACTGGGAGTCACAGAGACTGAGAGAGACTCTCACACACAGACTCACACTCACAGAATGGGAGTCACAGAGACTGAGAGAGACTCTCACACACACACAGAGACTCACACTCAGACTGGGAGTCACAGAGACTGAGAGAGACTCTCACACACACAGAGACTCACACTCAGAATGGGAGTCACAGAGACTGAGAGAGACTCTCACACACAGACTCACACTCACAGACTGGGAGTCACAGATACTGAGAGAGACTCTCACACACAGACCACACTCAGACTGGAAGACACAGAGACTGAGAGAGACTCTCATACACACACAGACTCACACTCAGACTGGGAGTCACAGAGACTGAGAGAGACTCTCACACACAGACTCACACTCAGACTGGGAGTTACAGAGACTGAGAGAGACTCTCACACACACAGAGACTCACACTCAGACGGAGTCACAGAGACTGAGAGAGACTCTCACACACACAGACTCACACTCAGACTGGAAGACACAGAGACTGAGAGAGACTCTCACACACACAGACTCACACTCAGACTGGGAGTCACAGAGACTGAGAGAGACTCACACACACAGACTCACACTCACAGACTGGGAGTCACAGAGACTGAGAGAGACTCTCACACACAGACTCACACTCAGACTGGGAGTTACAGAGACTGAGAGAGACTCACACACACACAGAGACTCACACTCAGACGGAGTCACAGAGACTGAGAGAGACTCTCACACACAGACTCACACTCAGACTGGAAGACATAGAGACTGAGAGAGACTCTCACACACACAGACTCACACTCAGACTGGGAGTCACAGAGACTGAGAGAGACTCTCACACACAGACTCAGAGACTGAGAGACACGGAGACTGAGAGAAAGACACACTGACTCACTCTGAGACTTGAGAGACTCGCAGAGAGCGCGACACTCGCACAGCGAGTGACAGACAGATATACCAACAGAGAGAGAGAGAGAGAGAGAGAGACACACACACACAGGACACAGACACAGACAGAGAGACACGGAAAGAGAGAGAGATAGAAAGAGAAAGACACCGACTCAAAGACTGAGAGAGAGAGACACACACACAGAGAGACTCGAGAGAGCAACACAGAGCAAAACTCAAACAGAGAGTGAGAGAGAAGAGAGACACAGACCTACAGATACACAGCAAAGAGAAGCTGCTCCTCCCGCTTCATCACCGCTTTCGTTTCAGAGTCGCAGTCTCTCCCTTTCCATCCCTCCCACACCCCGTCTCTGTCCCTTTCCCTTCTCCTCTCAATCTATGGGGTTAAACACACACACACACACACACAGCCCCAAACACTGAGACACACACACACACACACACACACACAGCCCCAAACACTGAGACACACACACACACAGCCCCAAACACTGAGATACACACACACACACACACACAGCCCCAAACACTGAGATACACACACACACACACAGCCCCAAACACTGAGATATACACACACACACAGCGCCAAACACTGAGATATACACACACACACACACACACACACACAGCCCCAAACACTGAGATACACACACACACACACACACACACACAGCCCCAAACACTGAGATACACACACACACACACAGCCCAAACACTGAGATACACACACACACACACAGCCCCAAACACTGAGATACACACACACACACACACACACAGCCCCAAACACTGAGATACACACACACACACACAGCCCCAAACACTGAGATACACACACACACACACACACACAGCCCCAAACACTGAGATACACACACACACACAGCCCCAAACACTGAGATACACACACACACACACACAGCCCCAAACACTGAGATACACACACACACACACACAGCCCCAAACACTGAGATACACACACACACACACACAGCTCCAAACACTGAGATACACACACACACACACAGCCCCAAACACTGAGATACACACACACACACACACACACACAGCCCCAAACACTGAGATACACACACACACACACACACACACACACACAGCCCCAAACACTGAGACACACACACACACACAGCCCCAAACACTGAGACACACACACACACACACAGCCCCAAACACTGAGATACACACACACACACACACACAGCTCCAAACACTGAGATACACACACACACACACAGCCCCAAACACTGAGATACACACACACACACACAGCCCCAAACACTGTGATACACACACACACAGCCCCAAACACTGTGATACACACACACACAGCCCCAAACACTGAGATACACACACACACACACAGCCCCAAACACTGAGATATACACACACAGCCTCAAAACCCTGAGATATACACACAGCCCCAAACACTGAGATACACACACACACACAGCCCCAAACACTGAAATACACACACACACAGCCCCAAACACTGAGACACACACACACACAGCCCCAAACACTGAGATACACACACACACACACACACACACAGCCCCAAACACTGAGATACACACACACACACAGCCCCAAACACTGAGATATACACACACACACAGCGCCAAACACTGAGATATACACACACACACACACACACAGCCCCAAACACTGAGATACACACACACACACACAGCCCCAAACACTGAGATACACACACACACACACAGCCCCAAACACTGAGATACACACACACACACACACACAGCTCCAAACACTGAGATACACACACACACACAGCCCCAAACACTGAGATACACACACACACACACACACACACACACAGCCCCAAACACTGAGATACACACACACACAGCCCCAAACACTGAGATACACACACACACAGCCCCAAACACTGTGATACACACACACACAGCCCCAAACACTGTGATACACACACACAGCCCCAAACACTGAGATACACACACACACACAGCCCCAAACACTGAGATATACACACACAGCCTCAAAACCCTGAGATATACACACAGCCCCAAACACTGAGATATACACACACAGGCCCAAAACACTGAGATATACACACAAAGCCCCCAAACACTGAGATATACACACACAGCCACAAAACACTGAGATATACACACACAGCCACAAAACACTGAGATATACACACACAGCCGCAAAACACTGAGATATACACACACAGCCCCAAAACACTGAGCTACACACAAACACAGCCCCAAATACTGGCACACACAAAAACAATAACAAAATTAAATTTGTATAGCACCTTTCACATCGGGAGGACGTCCCAAGGCGCTGGACCATCAGTGTTTCGGACCCGAGCTGGGACCAAGCACTGAGATATACACACAGCCCCAAACACTGATACACGCATGCGCACACACACATAGCCGCAAACATTGATACACAAATCCCAAAGACAACAATTTTGTGTGTATGTATATATTATATATATACACACACGCACACACATACATGTCAAGAGGAGGTCTAAAAGCTCAGATTGGGGGATTAAACTGGATTGGGGGGGGGCTGGTGGGGTTAACCAAAACGAGGTTGAAAGGGTCTTGAGGTGGCTTTAAGGTGGTGAGGGAGGTTGCAAGATGGATGGACTTCAGGATGATGTTCCAGA